ATATTATAGTTAAAATTAGTAATAGTTAAAGAGTAAAAGGTTAGGTAAAGTAGTTTACTTACTTATCTAACTTACTTATTAACTATATTAGTCTAGGTCTTTATAAATTAATTTAAGTAATAGTTTTATTATTAAGAGTTTTACTTTTAATAAAACCTTATATTAAAGATATTACTTATTATTACTTTATAATACTTAAACCTTACTTATTTCCTAAGATATAAACTAACTATAGATTAAAAATAGATTAAGATTATATAGTAATATTCTAATTTAATTTTAATATTTAAGGATTATTATTTTATATAATATAACTTAACTATTAATAGTATATAATTTTATTATTCTATAAGTAGAATTACTTTAGCTTACTATATAACTATAATTAAAGACTCTTTATACTACTTATATCTATATATACTTCTTCTTTTATAGGGGGTACCTTAAGGGGTACCCCTAGGATTTAGGTATAGTATAGAATAGCTTTTCCCTTAATTAATATAATTACTCTATAACTATAGAGTAATTACTACTTTATATAACAGCGTCTTTTACTAATAGGTAATAAGTTAAAAATAGCTTACTTATTAGGTAAGGTAAGCTTAGGTATAAATGATTATTCCCTACTATCTCTATTCTTTGAGAGCCTTCGTGATCTAAAGATGTTATTCTGTTTGAAATTGTGTGGCTTGTGGCGTTGAGGACTAGCGCCCGCCTGCATCGACTCCAAGATGCTAATAAATACAAGGAATCGAGTTTTCACACCGCCTCGTCGCCTTGACCAGGGCTGAATTTTGATAAAACAACCCTCCGTCACTCGCTTGTGATCGAATATGCACACTCCCGTTCCCACCGCCCTTCCTTTGAGCGGATTATAGTGCAAGTATCCGCATCCCATACTGGTTGTCACAGTGTCTGGCATACTGTAGCTTAAGACAGCCGAATATAAGCTGCCAAGAAAGCCACATACCTCAATTTCTGTTTAGCGCTTCTGCTTGTACATAAAAAAGTAAAATGTGATTACAAAAGTTCTTGAGGAAGCTGCACTGCACGGAATTGCGTGTCAAGCAAAGAGGAGGCGAGTGAGTACGACAGGGCCCTACAACGTGATTTCATCACACGCCGATCAACGAACCAGAGCGGTCTGGGAGCAAATAATTTGCCAGAACTTGCCAAATACACAAGTGTACAGCGTCCTTGACAGAAAATTAAGACCCAGAATCTTCATTTGAATCTTGTTACGACAGTCATGTCTTTCACAAAGACATATTTTCTATGTCCAACGTCGGAATTCATCCACCCACCACCAGCAGGCCCACTCTGTCTTGGTTCTATAATTCGCTCCCCGTCAACACCGCAATACCCTCTAAATAGAGCAAACGTTATAGCCGTGCCTGACACAGCAATCCTTCCTGTCGTCGAGACTGACTGGAAGAAGAACGTTTCCACCAGCGGAGACATCGGCCTGGGTGTCTATGCTCAGTTCCTGCAGCTAGCCACTGGCACCGAAGCGGAAGTGGAGCATTCGAAGCAAACCTCGAATACGTTTGCTTTTGAAACGTTGAAGACGCTGGCTTTTGAGCCGACGCAGGAATATGTGCAAGAAGCTATTAAAGCAGCGCCTGCTGTGCAGTCGTGGCTGAAGGAGCCCAAGCAGCGGTTCTCACCATTTTCCTCGCTCTACCTTGTCACGGGCATGAAGCTCGTCAAGGGCGCTATGATGAAGTACTCAACTTCAAAAAACACGACGGCCACGGGTAATCTTGGTTTCAGTATACCCGCTTTCGGCATGACAGTCGGCCCAAAGGGCCATTGGAGCTGCGCGGTTAGCGACGAGACCGAATCCAACCGTGAGTCGGAGTTTGTGTTTGCGATCCGTCTGAAGAGGCTCAAGTTCGGGCGCAATGTCAAGATGGAAGAGTATACTCAGGGTGCCTTTCTGGCTGTTGGTGATGAAGAGGAAGAGAGCAAAGATGCATCTCTTTCTGTTTTAGTGGAAGATGTGGATGGCTCTCATATCAAGACTGCGAAAGCTGTTTCTGATGTGACAGAGGACGGTATGGTGTATTGCGTCCCGACCTAATTGTGGTATAAAGTCAATCGTGAGATGGAAATAAGATACTAGTATACTACATATAGTGACCATTCTAACTAGAATCATTTACTAAGCTTCTAATCGTACATGTGTCGTCTGAGGTCCTTGATCTTGTCATAAACTTTCTCTCTCGACGCGCCCCTATCGAAAAGTTCACTCGGCCTGATGTAGTTGTACCCAGCACCCCTTGTCTGCCTGGCCATGCTCTTCAGCACCATATCCATGGAATGAACGTCCTTTAGCCATGGCCCTAATAAGTCACTTCCTACCATGGCGTGCTGATCCTGCTGCCTCACAAAGGACAGGACCGAAGCGGCAAGCCCCGCGGCAATTGGTGTTGCGACCGATGTCCCTGACATGGCATTGACAGGCTCGCCGAGGCTATTCGCAAGACCAACGGGCCAGTATGAGGAGACATTCTCCCCAAGAAGACTAAAATTAACGTCTTTATCGTCTGCAGTCGGGTTAAACGCCGACGGGTTGCCGTTCCCATCGGTCGAGTGTATACAAAAGATGCTAGGATATTTAGCGGGAAATGCTCTTCCGAGATTAGCTCCATCGTTCGATGCCGCTGCGAATAATAATGTCTGACCGTGTAGGGCATTCGATATGGCTCTCTTCATAGGCTCGTTATATTCACGAATCCCGAACGACATGGATATGATGTCTACTTTCCATTCAGAGACCGCGTGATTGATAGCCTTTCCACATAATGAGCTTTGCCTGAAAAAAATGGGGGGGGGTCTGCTCTGCCAGTCAGACTTACCTTCGTAATGTCATCGTACGTGTTACGATTCAGAGTTGCTCGATGCGCAATTTTTCCGATATAAATTTCAGCGCATGGGGCGATTTTCAGTAGCAGACCAAGGGCGTGAGTGCCGTGCCCAATCTCGTCTCGAATATCCTGCGGTTCTGTGCCATGTACAAAACTCTGTGCAACCCTGATTCGTGGGTCTATTCGTCCGAAGTCATCCCTCAAGAGCGGATTTTCAGGGTCAAACCCGGAATCTAGGATGCCTATTCGCACAGGTTCGACCATTTGGAGCGCACCAGCATGAACAGGCTCAAAAGGGTCAACGAATTGGTGAATTGAGGAGAGTAGGTTGTCCATCCATTTTCGCGATAGGGGATTCCTGGCGAAAGATCATTAGTATGACGTTGCTTTATGACTCCTGAAACAATTCCTTACTCTTGTTCACAGCCCGTCTGATGGCTTGCGTCGAAAAAGTGCAAGCTATTTGTTGAATCCGGAATGACTTGCGCACGAGCAGGTCGCGCGGATTTCTGTAACACCATGTCGGAATTGAAGCTTGCCGGCACATTGTCAGATATTGAGCGTTGCGCAGGCGGACGTACTTCATTGTTTGTATCAGTGGGATATTTATCCTTGCCAGTTTCAAGGCGGACGACTTCTCGACCGATGGAGCCCCAGCAGCTTTCATTCGCTTGAGAATCGAATGAGCTCAGATCCTCTATTCGAAGACGCCAAGACTTGAAGATTTCGGCCTCAAGCCGTTTGACCACATTCTGATAGAAGAGCCGCTGGACTGTCTCAGACTCAAAGGCAGCGTCCTGTCCGGCAGGTAAGTACTCCCAGTGCAGGCATGCCTTCGTGGCAAGATAGTAATCCAAGCCAGCCTCAGCTTCTAGCGTCTGAAGTATCTCATGGCAAGTATACCAATTAGTGTTGACATTCCTTTGGGCATCCGGGTCCTTTTGCCAGTGCTCAACGGAAGTCAGATGGTGTATTTCACACAGAAGAATGCCGAGCGCTAGCACACTGGCGTTCGGATGAATACTCTGATTGAACACGCCAGAGCTACTGACATTTGGGCCAGTCTTTTTGCCGGCTGTGATAATGGGAATGTGCTCCATGGCTAAAAAAGGTTTCGTGATGTCGGGCAGCTGTCCATCTTCCAGCGGCTGAAAGAAGAGAATCTTGGAATGGTTGAACGAAGGCTGCAACCACGGTGTCTCCAAGAATGGAAGAAGAGCCGAGGCGAGTGTGATAGCTAAGACTCGCTTCCCCTTCAGTGACAAGGCAGAAGAGCCCCCACGCAACTCTTGTTGGCGCTTGAATAAAGCCGCCAAGGACATTGTCCGGGATGTTTTATCTCCAGCAAAGGTCCTTGGCTGAGGACGAAGTCTCTGAAATATCCCATGTTCAAGAGCCAAGTTCAAGCAATTTTGCTGGCCGAGGGAGTCTGTAATGCTTTGGCAAATATGCACGAAATCGCCTGCGCCGCTATCTACAGGGGCGGATGAGCTCCTTCCCCTGTTGTATACGTCTCTGTCATGAGCGAAGGTATCAGTAATGCCAAGGTACACGGAACATCTTCTCGGAGCTTACTTGATTGTTATCTTGGCCTCTTGCAATGAAGTTGCAGGTACAGACCGTACTCCGAAAAAAACATCAAAGGATGTCTCAACTTTGGAGTCTTTCTTTTGTGGCAGAGAAAGTCTGACGCTCAGCCCTGAGCATCTCTGGCAAACGCAGACCCAGTGTTTTCGTAGCGCATTGTCCAAGGACACCAAATGTCTCCTTGTCAACAAAGCGAAGTCGGCATCGGCCTCTTCGAAATTCGCGCTGGAACTGGGTTCTTCACGAGTGATGACTCGGCGCTTCTTCGAGTCCCTGTCCATATGCTCTATTTCCTCGATGATTTGGTCCTTTTGTCGACTTCTTTTACTAAAGCGAATTGTAAGGCTTTGATTGGAATTCGAACTATCAACCATGTTGCGCAATGCCTGAAGCTTCGGATACGGCCCTTCCGGCAAGAAGTTCTGCAGCGTAACATCTTGTCAGTATTTGCGAAGTAAGAAAAAAAGGTATAAAAGGAAAGTTTGCCACATATCACCTCGGGAGCGCTTACGAAATCCGTTTCTCCATCCGTTTCTCCATCAGGCTTTACTTCAACGTAGCCTTCAAGCGCATGAAGCGTCCTTTTACGCTGCTCAGGCTCCATTTCGTCTAATGCATCGGCATCATGCTGCAGAAAAGCATCCGTCCGTAGCCAAGCATCCTGTCTCCGTGCTCTTAAAGATTTGGGTTTCTTGATGGGCCTTTCCATTGGCTTTCGAGCAAGAAACCCAAGCACAGACCTCAGAAGGCCCGGAGTCTCGTCCACATCCATAATTCTACATGAGAAACGGCGAGCTTGGAGGTTTCGTGGATAGGCAACGGGGCTGCGTTGCGGATATACTGGAGGTTCAAAGACTAGAGAATCCAGTGTCGGCCGCGGTCGGACTGGTTTGTGGACTGTAAGTTGATAAATTTGGTAGGTAGATCGGATGTCTTTCAGCGTCCGCCGACTTGAAAAAGGTGCCCAGGCACGCGAGGCTGAGTCGCAAGCTAGGCAGTACTGAACTCAATATTTGACGTTGTATTGATGGCAGCTTGCATCGAGCTGAGGAGAAGTAGAGAACTAATGCACAAACGTCCCAAAGGATCCGCCTCTTAAGTGGTAAACATCCATGACTCCCCTCCATCGGCTGTCTTTCCGGTGGTATGTAACGCCTTCAGGTTGCATTTCAGGAGCTTGCAGCGGCCGACAGCGGCCGACAGCGGGATACTGTCATCCTTGCCTTGTTGGCCTTGATTGGCGCCCTGTGGCTGAAAACCTTACAGTATACAGAGTACAGTACACTGTATGCGAGGAAAGAAGAACCCCAGTCCCATCCTCTACATAGTGTCATTTGCACTTTCGGCTCCTGCATAGGTAAGAGTTTTCACCAGGGCTTGCCCAGGCGGCAAACCGGCATCCTCATCGGCCCTTGAGACCAGGCTGACCCTCAAATGTTTAGGCCGCCAATGCACGGTAGCAAGAATAGAACCCTAGGGGGAAAACGCCGCTGGTCATTAGCAGCTCCAAAGTACAGCATCCCATAAAAAGAGAAAAATCATTCTACACTTAATACTATAATAAATAAAGTTTAAAATTATAGATAAAATTAGGACTTATAAATAATCTTCAAAAGAATATATTACTAATAGATTATTAAAAATATTTTATTTTACTACTTTAGTTTTCCTTTTCTATAATTTTTATCTAATATAAAGTAAGTTAGAAAAGTAAATTAGTACTCTTAATTAAAAAAGAACTTATTAGATATAGATTATAAGGTTTTAATTTTAATATTAAAATATTATAAAATTATAACCTTTATTAAATATTAAATATAAAAAGAATTACTAAAGACTACTATATTAGTTAGATTTTGCTATTCTAATATATCTTTATATAATATACCTTTAATATAAGTAATTCCTTTATATTAAAGTCCTAATTAATAGTTAATAATTATATATTATATATATATCTACTATTAAAAGGATATTATCTTTAAATAGTATTATATATAACTTAATAGTATTATATAAAACTTAATAGTCTTATATATAACTTAATAGTCTTATATATAATATCTACTATTATAGGCTTTTAATAGTTCTCCCTAAAAATTATATTATAAATATAAATTAAGAATTAAATTTACATTTTAGGTTTTTTTTATTAGATAATAATTATACTTCTAATTCTTCTTAAGAAATTAAAAAAATAAAAGTAAACATTATACTTTATTCATTAGATTAACTTTTAATAAAAATATAAATCTAACTTAACTTAGCTAAATAGATATTTATTATATACTAAACTAGTCGTATAATGATAGTTAGCGTAGATCGGCGATGTATTATTCTACCTCTTTAGAACTAGGGTAACCTCTTTGTTGTGCGTGATAGAGTGTCTCGGAGAGAAGAAAGCATCTGCTGCCTCTGACCTTGATGGCTGTTCAATCATTTTCAATGCAGGACCAGGGTGCGAGGCGAGGTGCATTATGCTGTGGCTGACCTGCACGAATGAGTAGTCATTTTCTGCGACAGGAGCAGGGTGCCAGAACAGCTGCATGTGCATATGCAGACTGGTTGCATGTTCATGTGCAGACAGGTGCATCTTCCTTCGTGCAGTCTCCGACAGCACTGGTCGGTACAGATTGTATCACATTCGGCTGGCCTTTCGACGCATTGCTTTCTATTCTCAACCGCTTGAAAGGACGCAGGTCTAGGTCAGCCGAAATGGATCTTCGCTAGTCTAACCAACTTGTTTTCATCAACGCCGGTTTCCCGCGTCTCCGGCAACTCTACGCAAATTAGACACATATCCTCACACCTCTTAAGGATACCCTAGATATGTATTTATAAAGGTAAATATTGTGTCGGTCGGATTTGACCGCCCCGTTGCACGTTAGTACGATAGAGTAGATGAAAGGGCTGAGTCCCCCATAGCTTTTAAAAACAACTTTTTCCACTTTTTTATATTTAATTTCTGTTATTTGCCTTATAATCTGGAACTTGGCTACGCCGCTCTTGGTTTCTGACGATGTCTTGACCTACTACGATTCTTCGACCCTTTATACGATAATAACACAGTACGCCTTCGGTACAGGCATTTCCTTTGCACTAAGGTCCTGATCAACAGTCGACAATCGCATATAATGCATATACCCACCCTTAGAGGGACGATATCTTTAAATAGTATTGCGTACGACTTGACGGTCTTGTATAGGTAGTAGCTACTGCTGTAGGCTTTTTACGGTTCTCCCCGAACATTATAATATATACTATATAATAAAAGTTAAAAGTACCTAAATAAAGTATTTTTTTACTTTATATATTATTATTTATTTTAAATTAATTATTAGTTATAATATTATATAAAATAACTTTAATTTTAAAATAAATAAAAGTTAATAAATAAATAATATTTTAATTAATAATTAAATAATTTAAATTCTATTATAAAGTTAAATATAATATAATATAGTTAATAAATAAATAAGCTAGATAAGTAAGTAAACTACTTTATTTAACCTTTTATCTTTTAATTATTAATAATTTAATTATAATATAAAAAAATATCTAAAAGTAATTAAAATCCTCTTTTTTATTAATTATTATATTAATAATATAAGTATATAACTATATTATATTTAATTTAATTATATATACTATATTACTAATTATATATTTTGACTTTTATTTTATAATTATTATAAGTTTATATTTTTTTTATTTAATTATTTATATTTATTAACTTTTTGAAATTATTT